GTCTTGAGGTCCTCGTCGCACTTCTCCAGCGCGCCCAGCAGCTTCCGCCGCTTCTCCGCGGCCGTCTCAGGCGCCGCCGGTGCCGGTGGAGGCGGAGGCGGACGCGTCGGGAGGACGACTGGCCGCGGCGTCGCTGTTGCCGCGGCGGGCGAGGGCGGCGCGGACTCCTCCAGGCCCATGAGGCGCGCGATGATGGCCGGCGGTGGCGGCCGGGGGCTGTCGCAGCTGGAGCGCCGGTGCTCCGGCGCGATCGTCGGGCTCCGCGGCGCGTCGCAGGAGCGCCGCCGCCGAACCGTTACCGCGGTCGTCGTCATCAGCTGCTGCGGCATCATCGGCTTCACCGGAGACGAAGGCGCGGGCGAAGCTGAAGGCTGCTGCTGGGCCGCCGCCGCCGCCTTCTTCCTGGGCGGCGAGGACGGCGGAGTTGGCTGTAGTGCTTGGGCGTCCCGCGCTGATGATGCGTTCTTGGCGGTGAGGCGCTTCCGGTGGTGGCTGCGGTGGTACGGGGAGATGAGGCGGAGGAGTCCGGCCATGCACCCGATGCCGCTGCTGCTCCGCCTCGGCGCGGTGGAGGAGCACGTGGAGGATGCCCGCCGGTTGGCGGGCTCCGGCTGCGGCTGCGGTGGCTGCATAGTCTCTGCGTTCCCTGAGCCGGTTGTTCAGCCGAGCGGGAGCAGCGAAGCACGGCGTGTGGGGTCGTGCCGTGCCGTGGCATTATAATTGGAGCAGGCGTCGAGTACGCGCGTGGAGCGCGCAGTGTAATGACCGCATCGCCCCTGTGTCTCCGGCCACACACGACGCGATGCCAAGGGCAGTTTAGGTGTTCATCTCGTGCGAGCTTTGCTAAGGGAGGCGACAAAAGCTGTGGACTGGTGGACTGGTGGGGAGGGCACGTACAAGTATCCGAGTTGAACTGCACACTCCGCTGCGCACGCTGCGGTGGCCGCTAGCCGCGTGCCTGCCAGTACTACTACTGGCTTCTGGGTTCTGGCTGCTGCGTTAGCCATCGTTAATAATTAAGGTGTCGTTAATTAAAGCGGTCGTGGAGTAAGTACTTGTACTACACAGACTAGCCAGTGTGCAGATTAAGGAATAATGGTCGCTATCATGTCCTGGGGGAACTTTGGATTAATTATCTGGTTCCGTGGCGATGTTGTTGTTTGGGAAGCATATGGATCTGAGCACTGAGCAGGGGGGGCGCACGTATAAGAGGCCCATCGATCGATAGTCCTGACCCGATGTTCCAGCGCCACCAGGGATGGCAATGGCACGCAGGCACAGCCTGGATTCTCCCGTTGCTTTAGCTTCAAGTTTACATCTGATCTGCCATCGCATATGCATGCCGTTTCCCTTTTCCCCGTCAGATTCCAAACATTGAGGTCTCGGGACTCGGGAAACGGAGTAACTTCTAGGCTACTTCAGCCCCTTTCCGGATTACTAAACTAGGACTGTACTCATCGTCTCTAATGTTGATTGGTGGTCATTTGTTAGCTTTGATCATCCCTGCCCTGTGATGTCCGGAGTCAGGGAAAGCACGCTGTAGGGAGCAGGCAGTAGCCAGTACCAGTAACCACAACCACTACTAGGCCCCATGCATATGCAGTCATGCTGCATGCAGAGCAACAGAGGGCAGAGGAGGCCGTAGCGCCACATTTTAAAGACGACGGACGACCGCGGCGCAGCGCGCTGGACCCATCGCCACACAATTTTTTTTTTCCGAAGGAGAATGGTGGGAGATCCATCGGGCAGAAAGCAAAAGAGGGCATGCACAAGGAAAAGAAAAGGGCGCATCCATCCATCCATCACTCCGAGGTCGAATCCTAGGCACCGCGCCTCAGGAGACACCCCACGTGGCGGCCCCACAGCACCTTCCTGCGCGCTACGCGCACACGCACGCGAGAACGCAGCAGCGGCCAGAACCACAGCCACAGCCAGAGCCCGCGCCAGGCACTGGTCGTCGTCTAGTCCTCCGGCCGTCCGGGGCACCGACGCACTGTGCCTGTTCTGTGCGCGTCGTCCTGCGTCGCAACGGGCACTGCACTGCCTGTTCGCAACTCGGCTCTTGGCGCTGCACGCGGCACGCCGGCATCCACACCTCCGCGAGTTTCGTGGCCGGGGCGCACGTCCGCGACGGCACGTCGCCACGTACAAAGCTCACATGCCCACCTACTCGCGTCCTTTTGCGCCGCGGCGGTGTCGTGTTGGGGCGAGCGAGGCGGATGGCGGATGCGGATGAGGATGCGGGCAAACGTTGGCCCTGCTGCTGCCGGCACGGGAAACTGTCGCTGCGGCGCGCGGGTGCGTGCCCACGGTGTCCACTAGCGCTCGGCGGTGACGGCCTGGTTGGCGGAACGGACGCGATAGCCTATATATATACCCTACTAATGCATGGCTCCGTTCCTCTATCGTACGTCTTGCTTGTCACTGCGGCCGCGCGCGCGCGCGCGAGCGAGGGCGTGCCCGCGCTGTCCGCTAGCGTTCGGCGGCGACGGCCAGGTCAGCGGAACGGACGTGCCGGGCTAGCGTCGCCTAACGGATTCCCATTCCTCATCTCTCCGTCGTCATGCTCGTTGCCGCGCTTCCCTCGTCTGGAAAATACATAGGAAATACTAGTAGTATAGTCTCGACCTCCGCAGAGGCCATTGCTGTAGCGGCACGCTTAGGGCGTTTAGATCCAAAATTTTTTGGGTTTTGGCTATTGTAGCATTTTCGTTTGTATTTGACAATTAGTGCCTAATTATGAACTAATTAGGTTCGAAAGTTTTGTCTCGCGATTTCTCACCCAACTGTGCAATTAGTTTTTTTTTCATCTACATTTAGTACTATATGCATATACCGCAAGATTCGATGTAATAGATACTGCGTAAATTTTTTTGGGTTTTGAAGGGAACTAAACAGGCCCTTATTAGATGTAGCATTACGATCAGGAGCCCGTACGTGTCCATTCAGTGCAGCGTGGGAACAATACCGCAATGATAATTGCGTACACTCTAGACTGTCTGTTTTTTTTTTAATTACACAGTACAACACTTACGTCCATAGCGTGCGTGCACGCACACTCAACCCCAAAGAACACACGTACGTAAATCCTACCCCTATAAGCACCTCCGAAGGACTGAGCCGGCATATATCGAGATTCACGAAGTCACCACTGGCGCCTCGCTGTCGATGGAGACGTCGACTACCACTGAAAGTATAACGTCGTTAAATGCTAGAATAAATCTAGAAAAATACAAACATCCATATTAAGTTGAGAACTTAAAACTAAGTGGGTAGGTTTTACCATGAGAAACCTCAACTGATCTAGGTTTGCACGATCCGTGTGCGCGCCGAGACTTTGGCTCTGGTAGGAGTAGGAGTATGTTACGTGGGGCCCGGTCGAGCGAGGCCGAGGCTTCTTTCCCTTCTCTGTCTCAGGTCAGCCTCTTCCGTGCCTGTAGGCTGTAGTCCCGTACGTGCCCCCATTGTAACCATGGAACGTTTATTAATGGCACGCCCAGCTTCCCGACGCAGGACGCGCGGAGTTTTACCGTTTCGGCGCCACGCATGAGACGATGGAGGTGGGTTCCGTTCATCCGTTGACGTTGGGTGGGGGGGACACACGGTGGACGGCCCGGCTGGTTCTGATGGACGCCACCACACGCGCACGCAGGGGAGAGTGACAGTGAGCCAAAGGGGCCCGCCCGACGGATCGAGTTGATTGCGCAACACTGGACCGAATCATTGTGAAAGGGATGGACCGATGGAGGGACTGGCTGCACTGCCATGAGGGAGAAGACAGAGAGAGAGAGCAAGAGAGGGGGCCACAGGGCCCCAGGCCCCAGGGGGGCGGCTGCGTCGCCTGCTTGCCTCGGCGTGCTCAAGACAGGCCAAGAGAGGGCGTGGGGCATACAGGCATCATTGATGGGCGTGCGGCCAGCCACCGAGACTGACTCAGCTGAGGCATACACAGGCAATGGCGCAGCTCAGAGCAGCAGCAAAGGCAAGTGATCCGCTCCCGTCGGCTGGAGTTGCCGCTCCATTTACCGGAGTGAGCTGGAAGCCGCGGAGCCAGGAGCCAGCCAGCCGGTTGGTGAGCCGCCCGTACACCATCGTGGATGGCCGAATACAACTCCCCCTTTTCTCACCAAAAACGCTTGTCTCAACTCCCACGGGCAGGCAACTAGGCAAGCACGAGCCCGGGTATCAATGCACCACCATGGCCATGGAGGTGCATGCGAGGAGGGACTTGACGTTTCACGCCCGTGCCCGTGCGCAAACCTTTCCCGGTGTTTTTTTTCCCTACCGTGGTCAACTATTCCCCCAACAACAACAAGGCAGGATGATCACCTATAACCATGATGAGATGCCACACCTCTTCGATTTCAGTAACATGCGCGACAGATGTGAGTCGTCGTTGTATTAGGAGAACTAGTGCAGAGTTCTGCAACAAATGTTTAGGCAAATCTCACTCCGTTAATCCGGTGCATAATGGCAGTGTAAAATTCTGGCTCCGGGCCTGAAAACACTAGTGAAATCAGAAAAGACTGAACCCACAGTATCCCATTTGTAAAATTCTCGAGTTTATTACATAACAAAAACATCGTCTTCATCACCAGTCAAAGACAAACAAAAATCTAGGAATCACTTGATCTATCTCTGGCACCTAACATTTCTGTGGATTTCCACGGTTTTCAGTGACACCTCTACACGCATCATCCCTGGGAGGATGGGATGGGGGAGGAACGACGACAAGCGGACATGTAGGAATTATATAAGGACGCCCGCCTTGGCTCTCTGTAACAAGATTTAAACAAACCAGAAGGCCAACATCATGATAGCGCAGCATGTACAGCTAACAACCAGACTACCAGAGGTTCTGCAAGCTAAGGGCACGGAAAAAATACTCCTGAACCTCAACCGCTTTTACAAGCATGTACTACCACCTCGGTGCTGTTCAATCGCTGCTCCCGCAGTGAGTTGTCAAGCATTAACTTCCGCTCTTCATGCGCGGGCTATTGCTATCGTTCGATGGGTTTGTACAGGACGACAGTTACATATTTGGACTCGAACCTGTGGGTTAGGCCGAGAGCCACCAGAGGGTGGGCGCCCCAGCCCTTCTCTATGAAGAGGTGATTGAGGACTATGTGCTGTGGCCGGGCGCAGCTTTCTTCCGAGTTCTGTGAGTTAAGAACACCGAGATGGAGTTGAGATGGAAGAGCAGGAGGCTCCTTGGCAAAGTCCTTCTCCTCAGGTGCCTGGAAACTGTAGCTAGAATCTGGAGAAGGAGGTGCTTCAAATTCTGCCACGCTCTCAACACTTTCAGGGACAAAATCCTGCAAGCACAATAAGAGTTTCGTGGAATAATTTCAACAGAGGACCAAAATAGAAGATGGCACGAGTAGCTTTGTACATACTACATCATTAAAATGGAATGCACAACTTGAGCTAAGCTAAGACCGAAACTATTCTTCTTTCTTTTGTTAAGGAAGGCAAATAAGCATATGGTTGACAGCAGTGTCATGCGTGTTATAAATTTCACCCAATACTTCTTTTTTTCTTTCTGGCTGTGCTCAGGTCTTTGCCATAAAAATAATAATACTAATACTCACATTAACATCAAGAAGGTTAACCGCATTGCCCATTGCATCAGTTTCACAGGGAAGATCAGGAAGACATCTCCTTTCTCCATCTACAACAAATCTGTATCGGTAAACTCCTGATGGGAGTACCAGCAAAAGAGAATAATCTTTCCCAGATTTTTGCATGGCTTTTCTGCAACATGTATAAATGAACAATCTCAGGATCAAATTCACCGCAGTCTGAAGTTACAGTTCTGCTTAAGTTGATTAAACATTCAAACAATCTCAGGAATTAAAGTTCAACTTGAACAGGATTATATAAATAAATTAAATTATTGTACCTTGATTTCCAGTTATCCCATGATCCTTCAACATATACATTTTTTCCTCCAAGGGTCCAGACAATTAAAGCAGGAATTTCCTTTTGAGGGGGGCCATCGTATTCTTCTTCTTGTTCATTCATCAATATCTGGTTGAACACTGGGGTTACATCAGCAGCTCTTTGCAGTGGAGGTACAGGGGTCTGCAATACAGGAGTAACAGGCCTAATCAATATACTGGCAATGCTCATACCACATACATTTAGCTAAGGAAACAGGTGACAAATGACTGGTTTCAAAATATATGGTCGACAAGTCTGGTGTTGGGACAGAGGAGGTAGGTAGTGACTCAAGTGGTGGACAAGAAAGTTGTTGAACCAAATCCTAGGCAATCAAACATCACATTTTACCATTATAGAGCTTTTCCCTCTATTAGTAAGTTTGAATGAATATCAACAGGCAGAAACCATTCGATTTTCATCCTGCAAGATCATCGAGCTTCTAGCCTTCCATCATTGAGAAAGTGCAGACCAAGAGACACTAATACAATATACTCAGTTGCCTCAAATAGTCAAGACCACGCAAATCAGGAGCCTTGGATCCTATTATATTAGGACATTCTTGCCAAGCAACTTGCTGAAGAAACCTTGTGGCATGAGAGGAAAAAAACAAACAACAACAACAAAGCCTTTATAATCGGGTTTCATCTCCATTAGAATGGCTAGATTTAACGTTGGCTTGCCACGCCTATCACAACCCTCCTCCTTTACCAGGGCTTGGGACCTGCTATGTTGAGACAACATAGGCGGTAATTAAAGGAAAAATAAATCTCTTTTCCAAAAAGAATACAAGAGCAGGGTAAAAAGTATCAACAAGCTGAATATGAGATTCAGGATTGTTATGAATGGTACTGTTCTAGCATCAGAGGAACTCCACCAATTCAAAGAAACTTATATCGCATTTGTTAGAATAATTTGTAAAAGGAAGAGAATAATAAGATAACTTTGCGGCTTGAAATATAAACAAAAAACAATATAGCGCAGCAAGTTATCAAAGTGTTGGAGTGAATGGTGTGACACTTTAAATAAGAGTAAAAACAGTAAATCCACTGCGGTTCAATCGAACACGAAAAATAACATAAACCAAGAATGCTTCATCTGTGTAGTCCTACTGAAAATCCACAAAAGGAACAGCTCCAATTCCTGATAAAGTTCACAAAACAATTGAGTGGCATTATATGAAAGACCAATTAACCGTTCAGCTTGCAGCCATAGTTTTGTCGTGCATATTTTAGTACACACGAATTATGGGCTTTTAGTTGCTACTCCTTCCGTTCCAAATGATATGTCACTTTAGCTTTGTCCTAAGTCAAACTTCGTAACTTTGACCAAGTTTTAGAAAAAATATATTAACATATACAAGTTCAAATATTCTGTTGTATGGTGCAGAATGTTGGCCTACGAAAAGACGACATGTTCAATAGATAAGTGTCGCGGAAATGCGTATGTTGCGTTGGATTTGCGGTCATACAAGAAGGGATCGAGTTCAGAACGATGATATACGTGATAGATTAGGGGTAGCACCAATTGAAGAAAAGTTTGTCCAACACCGGTTGAGATGGTTTGGACATGTCCAACGGAGACCTCCAGAGGCACCGGTGCGTAGTGGAATCCTAAGCCAAGATAGTAACGTGAAGAGAGGCAGAGGAAGACCGAAGTTGACTTGGGTAGAGGCAATAAAAGGAGACTTGAAAGGATGCAATATACCCAAAGACTTAGCCTTAGATAGGAGTGCTTGAAAAACAGCTATTCACATGACTGAACCTTGATTGCTTCTGCTGGGTTTCAACTCTAGCCTACCCCAACTTGTTTAGGACTTAAAGGCTTTGTTGTTGTTGTTGTTGTTGTATATACAAGTTCAAATATGCCCTATCAAGACACATGGAGAATTTGATGAAATTAATTTGATGCTGATGCGTTTTTCTATAAACCTAGCCAAAGTTAGAGAAGTTTGACCCAGGACAAAACTAAATCATTTGCTAGCACGTTGTGTCTTCTCTCAACAAGTCTGGACACTAATTTTGCAACAGTTAGGGCTGTTGCAGTTGGCACCACAACCTACTGTGACTCATTTCTCGGGGTGGTGGAAGAAATCAATTCCAGCTGTCCCCAAAGAAGCGCGTAAAGGCCTCAACTCCTTGATAATTCTGGTGGCATGGGAGATTTGGAAGCATCGCAACGCTTGCGTCTTTGACAATAAGAGGCTAAGCGTTCAGGAGGTCCTTAGGGCTGTTAGCATGGAGGGAGGGGTCTTCGGCGCTCGGCAAGGGCCTCCAAACTAAAGGAACTTGTGTTCAGGTCGCTACCTACCGGAGCTTAAAGCTCTGAGGCTTCTGGTCGTTTCTGTTCTTTCTGTGGCGCGTCTGTAACTTAGTGACCAGGGTGTGGTGTGTGTGTGTTGGGTTTCTTTTGACCCGTGTAATCTTTTTCTACCTTAATGAAATGACGCGCAGTTCTCCTGCGCTGTTCGAGAAAAAAAAGGACAAAACTAAAGTGAACTATAATTTGGAACAGAGATACAGTGCTTAAGTTAGAATTTGATTGCTGCAGAAATTGTTTGGTCTGCAACTAAAGTTGTGGCACACATAAATACCATAATTTTGTAGTAACATAGGCACATAGCTCTCGCATTTTAGACAAATTATTTGCCAAAGTTTGCCACAGTTGTGGCAGAAAGCCACCAAATTTCTGATAAAGCAACTAAACAACACCCATAACAGGCCGGTCAAGGGCTCAAGGCTAAGAAAACCTGACTGACCTAAGGTCACATAGCAAAACACTGGGATGAAAGGTTAAACTTTCCTAACTTTATACTAGTTGCTTACACTATATGCACTTGTTTTTCCCAGTTCGCAACACATTATAATTATAAAAAGGAACAAAAATATACTGTCTTATTCTGAAACAAATTACAAATGCAACTAGTTCTTTAACATTCTGAAGAAAAGAATACTGCCCTATTCTGAAACCTTGTAGCAACTACTAGGTCTATAATTATTAACTGAAACAGTTTTGGGAGCAATTAACAATAAATTACCAAGCATATTTATGTGAATGTTTTTAGTTTTCTCACAAGTCCTATATGCATAATGCCACAAGCTGCATCACATCCGCATGTAATTGATCTTTCCTGTTCCTTATAGCTATCCATGCAGTTTTGTGCCACACAAAAAAGAGGATGCTTTAGAAATCTCTGCAGATACATTATGCAAAGGAGAAGCATCCTATTGAGCCATTCTGAAGCCTAGTGCTCAATGTCATTCACTTTTTATCATAAGCAGTTTAAGACCATATTTTAATAACTACAGTGAGCATTTCATGGATAAATTTGCAATTTATCTTTGAATCTCTAATCAATTAAACATCAAATAATTTATTTTCCATGTATTTATCTGCGCAACGCCTGTGTTTCATGTGGTTTAGACTTCAGAAGAAACACCACCATTTCAAAATCAAGAGGTTGCTGAAATGGGAACAACACATTGCGACATTTCTATTTTCTAATGAGGCATGTCAACGTCAGCTGTTCAAGAACATATAATAAATAAATGGAGCAGCGAATGCAGTGAGTAGTAACTGAAGTTATCTTGTATATTTGTTTTCAGGTTAACTTATGCAACTAAACAAAAACTGGGGAGGTATGAGCACAATTTTGATGTGATGCTGCATTACATAAGATGTCAGCATACTGGTAGACACATAAATACATTAAAATATGAGCAAAGTCCCAGGAAATGCAAGATAAATATTGGTTCAGAGAGGGCATGGATTTCATAATCCTCTTTGTAAAAAAAATGTATGACCTCTAATTAAAATATGTTAACACAACGACTGTAATATCAATCCGAGTTAAGCAGTAACATCGTGAAAATAGTAGGAAGCTAGGCCTTAATTGGACAGATCGCTATGGGGTTTTCAGTTACGAGTTAATAACTCAAATTCTTAAACAGTTCAAACTATAATCGTGCTAAACTATCAAAATAAGTTTGAACATCACAGAGTAGAACAAAAAATGCCATTGACTGTATATATCAATGTTCATGTGACAACACAGTCTAAGTATCATCAACACAGGTATATATCAATGTCAACATACGCCAGAGACCAAACTTCCCTGTTCCTGAGCAATAATTAGTTGCTGGTGTACATACATGAAAAGAAAGGCTCGCACATGCGCAGAGTAATCTAGTTGTACAGAGCTCGTTGGAGCATCAATCTCAACACTAATTTCTCACATCACTATTAAACCATCTAATGGATGATTAGACAATCAAGTGCGAATTCAAGAAACAATCACTCTGTTATATGACCAATCAACAACTTGAGTACACTGGAAGCTCACCGTTCAGCAACGGACTGTCTGACAGCTTAAGTATCATCAATGACATATTCTGACAAAATCTACTGCTGATAACGACCAAGGACCAACCAAAGTTGGTTTTCGTGGGTGCAAAAATCGTTTCGCCGCACTGCGAGCGCAAACTACTAGTTAAGCTACGCAGTGAGCAACTTGCAAATAACTTCACGAAATTGCACGCGCACGGGAGCTAAATTGGTTCATCTAAAAGACGGTTGTCGGTTAGCATCAATCACAAGCAAATTCGGACGACACCAAACCTTGCCAGCCACCTCCAGATCGCGACCACTCGTCGCATTGGACCCTAACCCAACCAACCAAATCACGGGCATCTCCAGATCACCCGACCACCTCCCGAGCAAAACAAGCATAGGAAACCAATCCCTGGATCAACCAAACGAGCAGGCGAACCGACATAGCGGTGCGGGATCTCGTGATCTGACCTGGGGCACGAACATCCGCGGCGAGAGTGAGTGGCCGGGGCTCCCAGGTGGCGATCCGGCGCCTCCGCCGCCACCTACGACGCCCACCGAGCACGCGCGACGCACGTGGTTGGCTCCTCCGCTGCCGTACGGCGGGAAGCTGCGCTCCGACGAGCGAACCGACGAGTCCCCTCCGCCGTCCTCCACGTCGGCGCCATCGCCGTCAACAGCCGCGGCGTCCTCCTGGCGGCCGCTGGCGTTGCCCATGCCTCCTCCTCCCACCCCCACCCCCCGTGGCGGCGAAGAGGCGCGAAATTACGGAGATGCCACCAGGGCGGGCCTGGTGCCGTGCCGCTAGGAAGGGGGGGAAGAAGAAGAGAGGGAGGGGGGCAGGGGCTGCGGGGCTCGTATTAATACGGCCTTCACTTTGCTGGTAATTAAGCGCGTGCCACTGCCCTTGCCCGGAAGCGTGGCGCCACACATGCACCCGGTGCACGTGGTCTGACTGCCACTGCACCTGGGGACCCATGCTGTTTTAGTTGGTCTGTGGACGTGGTGCAGAAGAATTCGTCTTCGGGAGGGCAAGGCGCCCGCGCGTGTTGATATGTACGGGTGACGGGGACTGGGGCCGGGTCACGGGCTCACGGCGTGATTTTTTTTTAATTTTAACGCCTTTTAAAAACTAACTTTAAATCGGTTTTTTTTTAAAAAAAAACTAACCCTTTTGGACGCGTTTATTGCCCTGGCGTGGCCAAATGTCTGTGTCGCGCCATGCATGGTGGCGCGGTAGAGGTCTAACGTGGCGACGATCGGAAACGCGTCCGCTGACGTGGCAGGGCTCTGCCGCGCCACCGATTTTGACGCGGCAGTGCCGCGCCACGGCGCATGGCGCGGCTGAGCCAAATAAATATCGCGAGCGAGCCCTCCGCCCGCACGCACCCCTGCTAGCCCGCTCGTCGCCGCGCATCGCCCACCGCCGGCCGCGCCCGCCCACACCGCGCCCGCGCCACGAACGCCGCCTGCTCCTAAGTGCCGCCTGCTCCTAAGTACCTCCCTCTCGATTTCATATTATTTTGATTATTATTGTTTTAGGATAATTAGTAATATAGGATAGTTAGGGTTTTATGATGGTTATTAATTTATGATAGTTAGTGATTTAGGATAGTTAGGTTAGTGAATTTGTTTGTGATTTACGTAGGTAGTTTTTAGGTTTGAGGTTAGGATTTTGGGTTTAGGGATTGATTAGGTATTTATTATTTAGTTTATAGTTAGTTATTTAGTTAGGGATTTTGGGTATAGATACTGGTTTACAAATGCCGGTACTTACTAGTGCGTGATACGTCGATTTTGATGATTTCATGAAGTTTCGTCAAATGCTTATATTTCTAGTGAAGTTGTTTATGTAACTAGTGCGTGATATGTCTGTTAATTTTACTTTGAATATATACATATGCTTTCATATTGCATAACAAGTAGTTCAAATTTTGCAATGCTACATAATGTTAATTTGAATACTCTAATGCTTTGTTTATCAATTTGTAACAGGATGACCCCTCCCACGCAGCACCCGTTGTACCCCATTCTTGAGGCGGAGTACGACGACCAGCACCGAGCACACATCTTGAGTGACAACGACGCAGAGGTAGCCTTGTCTCCTTTGAGGCCCCACACGCACACTAGGGCACACCAGTGGGACGAGCGTTATGCGCCGTACATACGGCGTGCCGGCTTCCTCGAGCTTGTTCGTATTGTCAACCATAGTTTTCCGCCCCTTGACCTAGCACTACTTACTACAGCTGTAGACAGGTGCGAGTGCATTATTTGTACGTAAACTTTCTTGTAACAAATTTGAGACAACTAACAGTCGTTCTATTCTTATAACAGGTGGAGGTCTGAGACCCACACATTCCTCTACCTTGTGGCGAGATGACCTTGAGCATGCAGGACGTGAAGGCTATTTTAGGGCTTCGGTTGGGGGACTTCCAGTGACAGAGATAGTTGACAACGATCACTGGAGCGAGCTGGTGGCTCAGTTTACTAGCTTTCTTCCACCGGACGACAAGGCTTCCAAAAAAAATAAGTGAGTAATTCAAGCCTATTTAATACTTGCATTGCTTTCCTGCAGCCATCGGGTCTCATTTTCTTTGGTCAATTTCAGGAAAAGTTCTAGTGTTTCGTCGTCCTGGATCACAGAGCGCTTTGATTACTTGGACCCACAGGCTGAGGAGGCTCTGATCGACAGGTTCGCTCGAGTGTGGCTCTGGCACTTTCTTGGTGCTTTCCTCTTCCCATACGCCTCGGGCAACACCATCAGCTGGATCTTTCTTGACATACTACGTCAGCCGTGGGAGAACATAGCGGCGTACAGCTGGGGCAGCGTAGTCCTGGCATTGACGTATCGATAGCTATGCGTTGCCTGCCGTCACACCTCAGGATATGCGAACCTTAGGAGTTGCTCCTACCTACTCTAGGTTTGGTGTTGGGAACGATGGCCCGTTGGGAGGCCTCTTAATAATGGTTTACCGGTAAGTACTTCGGTTCACTATAATCTTCGAGGCAGTTACATATGATGAGATTATTAATGGTTAATTCATTATCGTGTTCAATGCAGCGATGGAACGGGCAGGATACACTCCCTACAACTTTGTATATCTAAACGGAAGCAGAGTTAGTTAGAGGAAATGCGAGGCGCAAGTACAGGGAGTACATGGATGGTCTCGACGTCCTGACACATCACCAGGTTACGCTCTCTTTACTATCATACATGTGTCTTGTTCGATGTACACTATATCACAACCTAACTCAATTACGAGATTTTAGGTGCATTGGTGTCCTTGGGATGCTTTGGAGCTCCAGTACTATCTTAGTATTGTTACTAGGGATGAGTCAGACGAGTATCGCTGCGACATCCCTCTTATTTTCTTCCATGTGGTCGAGATTTACTTGCCCATCAGGGTCTGCAGACAGTTTGGAAGAATGACAGGCTGCCCACCACCGCTTTACTCCACCAACAAAGAATTACACGGGTGTGTTATCGATTAATAACAAAGCTACAATTCAGAGGTGTGTGTGGTACAACTAACATCGTTTTGTTGCAGGTATGACCGCAGGAAGAGGTACATGACCAAGGATTGGCGCGTGACACATAGCGCACACATCCATTTGTGGCAGAACAGGGTACGACATCCGGTCCATGCGGGTCCTCCACACGACCAGCACACCTTCGACGAGTACCTGCGGTGGCTTCACAGGTCTACAAGGACACATATCAAGCCCCCATACACTGAGGAGGCGATTAACGAGGACTCAGAGGAAGATGTCATCGAAGATGTGTACGATGTTACCACTAGGGAGGACACACAGCTACAGAGAGCCACGCTTCAAAGATACGTGGTAAGATACTTGAATGGTACAATTTGTTATCCTTTTGGTATTAAGTATGTGTACTAAAACTATCCAACCGTATTTCTGTACCCAGGTGACACAATTGTCAAGGCTGTCCAATGAAGCAGCGTTTCGGCTTTACGAGTCTAGAGGGCAGAGGCCAGGCGTTCTCGCGGCTTTTGTGGAGGTAAACATAAACTTGTCCGTTCTGAAAATGTTTCTTTAGTGTATATGTGTTTGGGAAATGCACTAACTTTAACGTCTATTTATGCATAAGGTGAAGAAGAGCTGCAGGAAGCTAGCTTAGAAGCTGAGCTGCATGGACACTCCTTATGAGGAACCACCACTCCCAGCGCGGTCGGGTGGCACGTCTTCAGCCTCTTTGAGGACACCAGCCGGCTCTTCTCAGCCGATGACAGGTGCCACTTCCACGGTGCGTACACCACCACATCATAGCGCTGGGAAGGACCACACTGAACCGAGGGCGACAAGGACGACGACGACGATGACCCGGGCTTCTGCAGACAAAGACGACCCGATTACGACGATTGGCCGCAGGACGAGATTGGCATGTCTCAGCTAGGTGGTGCCCCGCTTGGTACCCAAGGAGCCTCACAGGTACTAACAAAGGTAGTTTCTTTAAATACGTATGCTCCATGAACTAACGATCATAAAGAATTATAAGTAATCATGCGTATCATATACTTGCAGGGTATGAGCCGTACACACCGTCGACGTGACCATACCGATGTTGGCTACACTCCCAATGTGTTGCCAACAAATCCAAAGAGACAGAGGCGTCCGAGGGATCCTTACACTCATGGGTCTTAGTTTGTTAGGTCGAACTATTATTGGTGTCCGAAACTTGCAGGCTAAGTTGGTTATGCTATGTCGAACTTATGTCAAACCAATGAAAATGTTATGTGGCAGCTTGTGAACTTGCGCACAGACTTCATTTATTTGCTTCATATTCGTTTCTATGCGTCACGGCAGCACTGCCGTCATGATTAGCTTTCCTGGCGTCCCAAGATACTAAACAACAGATGATCACCGAATAACAATTGAGGAACATATTATATATCCCCACAACATGAAGATCATCCACTAGGAATCCAGGATTGTAGCTTTATAGTTGCATTTCTATCTATTATATGGAGCTGAAAAGATAGACAGGGAGGAGGAGGCCAGAAGTCGAAAGCAGAGCTTCCACGATGAGTGCGTACGTATATATCCTATGAGTTGTTAAGGAGCAACACCACGAGTGCTTGTGATCGATTGATTCACCTATAATTAATGTGAGAGGCGTGTAAGGGGAACTGAAGATCAGTCATTACGGTGGTTAATATGGGCGACCGTTGAAAGGGAAAACACATGAAACAAACATCTAAAACGCGTCAAACATCCGGTTGCAAAAAGGCTCATCAACACGGAGCTCAACGTCGGCGCAGAGTCCGATGCCATGGAGTGACGGGGTGGTCGCCGGTGCGAAGTTCATTGGCGGCACAGGCCTCGGTAGTGGCCGCAATAGGTGGATGGGCACGTGGCCGCGGCGAGTGGCGCAGTTCCAAGCACAAGGCGCGGTGGAGACGGTAAATCGTCTAGGAACCACCGCGCCATGCGCTGGCGCGGCCGGCCCTGCCATGTCAACGATCGCGATTCCGATCATCGCCACGTCAAACCTCTACCGCACCACCATGCATGGCGCGCAGCGATGAGCATTTGGCCGTGCGAGTAAATAAGCGCGCCAAAAGTGTTAGTTAAAAAAAAACGACCGTGTTAGATTTTAAAATTAGTTTCCAAAAGTGTTAAAATTAAAAAAATCCACACGGCGTGGAGGAAGGAATTCCTCCTCGTTCTCTCTCTCTCTCTCTCTCTACCCTCTC